TAAGAGATTGAAGTCCAGGACCTCCAAGGTAGCATTCTCTGAATGCTTCCAGTTCCGTGCGCAGGGCCAGTCAGACAGGCAGAACTGCAGAGTCTCAATGCGTGGCTGAAACAATAGTGTAGGGAGGAGGGGTTTAGATTTATTAGGAACTGGAAAGCCTTTTGGGAAAGGAGGAGCCTATACAGGAAGGATGGGCTCCACTTAAACCAGAATGGAACAGGATGGCTGGCATGTCAAATTAAAAAAGGTCGTAGAGCAGTTTTTAAACTAAGGGCTAGGGGAAAGCGGACAGGTGCAGAGGAGCATGTAGTTCGGACAGAGACATCCCTTAGGGCAGTTTTTCTCAACCAGGGCTACGTGTACTCCTGGGGGTATGCCGAGGTCTTCCAGGGTTTACATCGACTTGTCTAGATATTTGCCTAGTTTCACAGCAGGTTACATAAAAAGCACTAACAAAGTCAGTACAAACTAAAATTTCCTACAGATAATGACTTGTTCTTACTCCTCTCCTGACCAGGATGGTGATCGTGACTGTGAAATGCTCGGGGAGATTAAAGAGGCTATAAAAATAAAAACCTCAGTAATAATGGGGGGATTTCAACTATCCGCATATTGACTGGGTACATGTCATCTCAGGATGGGATGCAGAGAGAAATTTTCTTAACACCGTAAATGACTACTTCTTGGAGCAGCTAGTCCTGGAACCCCTAAGAGGAGAGGTAATTCTTGATTTACTCCTAAGTGGAACACAGGATCTGGACTGCTTCAAAAAACAGTGACTATAACATAAAATTTAACATCCCCGGGGGGGAGAGGGGGAAAAACCACAGCAGCCCACCACGGTGGCATTTAATTTCAGAAAGGGGAACTACACAAAGGAAGTTAAACAAACAGAAATTAGAGGGTACAGTGCCAAAAGTGAAATCCCTACAAGCTGCATGGAAACTTTTTAAAGACCCCCTATAGAGGCTAAATTTAAACGTATATCCCAGATTAAAAAACACAGTAAGGGAACCAAAAAATTGCCATTGTGGCTAAATAACAAAGTAAAAGAAGCAGTTAGAGGCAAAAAGGCATCCTTTTAAAAAGTGGAAGTTAAAGCCTATTGAGGAAAATAGAAACTCTGGCAAGTGAAGTGTAAAAATATAATTAGGAAGGCCAAAAAAGAATTTGAAGAACAGTTAGCCAAAGACTCAAAAAGTAACAGCAAAAGAAATGTTTTTAAGTACATCAGAAGCGGGAAGCCTGCTAAACGACGAGTGGGGCTACTGGACAATCGAGATGCTAAAGGAGCACTCAAGAATGATAAGGCCATTGCGGAGAAACTAAATGAATTCTTTGCATCAGTCTTCATGGCTGAGGATATGAGGGAGGTTCCCAAATCTGAGCCATTCTTTTTAGGTGACAAATCGGAGGAAGTGTCCCAGATTGAGGTGTCATTGGAGGAGGTTTTGGAACAAATTGATAAACAGCAATAAGTCACCAGAACCAGATGGTATTGACCCAAGAGTTCTGAAGGAACTCAGATGTGACATTGCAGAACTGCTGACTGTGGGATGTAACCTATCACTTAAATCAGCTTCTGTACTAGATGACCGGAGGATGGCTCATGTGATGCCAATTTTCAGAAAAGGCTCCAGAGGCGATCCTGGCAATTACAGGCCAGCAAGCCTAACTTCAGTACCAAACAAATTGTGAAGAACAGAATTATCAGGACACCTGGATGAACACGATTTGTAAAGGGAAATCATGCCTCACCAATCTACTAGAATTCTTTGAGGGGCTCATCAAGCATGTGGACAAGGGTGATCCACTGGATATAGTGTACTGTGGAAGTATAACATTGTATAAGTATAACGTTGTATAAGGGGACATGCTGGATACATTGTATGTGAGAGGGCATGCCAAAACATGTTACAAAGTATCTGAGGGAGCACACGTAGGGACAGTTAGCTTTTGAATGGAGAAGCAATTAAGATAGAGCCAGCCCGTCTAAGAAGCAGGCATCAGACTGGAAGGTGTGAAGGGCAATTAGTTAAGTTAACTGGAAGCTGTTAAAGGAGATTGTTAAGGGTGGCAGGTAATTGAAGATACGTGACTGGTCTCAGGGATCTCGAAGGGTGGTGACTAAAATCTTTTTCTTCTTTTGTCTGTAACTTCTCTGTAACTTGTTCTCCAAAAAACTGTATAAATTAAAAGACACAAGCCCCACTCGGGGGGCTCACTTCTAAATGTATTAGCAGAGCAGCTTTGCTAATAAAACAGAGTGGTCTGATAAATTGTGAGTCTGAGTCAAACTTTGACAGTACTTAGATTTTCAGAAAGCCTTTGACAAGGTCCCTCATCAAAGGCTCTGAAGCAAAGTAAGCTGTCATGGGATAGGAGGGAAGGTCTTCTCATGGATCAGTAACTGGTTAAAAGATAGGAAACAAAGGGTAGGAACAAATGGTCAGTTTTCAGGATGAAGAGAGGTAAATAGTGGTGTCCCCCAGGGGTCTGTACTGGGACCAGTATTGGTCAACATATTCATAAATGATCTGGAAAAAGGGGTAAACAATGAGGCGGCAAAATTTGCAGATGATACAAAACTACTCAAGATAGTTAAGTCCAAAGCAGACTGCAGGGAGTCACAAAGGGTTTCTCTCAAAACTGGGTAACAAAATTGCAGATGAAATTCTATATTGATAAATGCAAAGTAATGCACATTGGAAAACATAATCCCAGCTACATATACAAAATCGTGGAGTCTAAATTAGCTGTTTCCTGGAATCACTGAGAGCTGGGCTATGTAATAGAGCCTCAGAACTCAATCTTTATATTGTGGCTGAAGACACTATTGGCTGTGAGAGATGCTGTCCTGGAGGAGCAGTACTAACTTCTGACTGCAAACCATGAGTGGAGGACAGCAGGAGGAAAAGGAGGGAAGTGGTGTGCTAAAGGAATATTTGTTCATAGGACTGTCAGATCTGCAGGTGGGGAAACTGAGGCAAAGAACATTGACCAGCGTACTGTGGAAGTGGGGATTTTGCTTAGTATTCATTCACCATGCAGTTGATTTATTGTTTCCTACATTAATGCTGTTCCTTTTCTCTCCTAAGTTTTCTTTGTTTCATACACAGTTACTGAGGACTTGCGAGAGAAGATTTGCCTGTTAAGGGTGCCTAAGGAGGGGGATTTAGTTTTCCCCAGGCTTCTTGGTGGCCAGTGTGTTTGCTAATTTCACGCGGAACCTCTAGATATTTCAACCAGGTCCTTGCTGCTATTGACAACACCTGGCAGAAGGGGGCCCTTAGTAATTGGTCTCTATGGAACGATCACAGGACTTCAAGGGAGTACGTATGACTGTTTTCTATCATTTAATTAAAACTAGAGCTTTCATTTGGGCCTAATTCTGTTAAATAGATTGAATAGTTATATAGTTAATTTTCCTTCTGCCACCAAAGCTCTCATTAAAGCCATGGGGAGCCTGAAATGCAAAAGTATCATGGGCCTGAATGCCCTGTGACTTCAAAGTTAGTTTTATGCTGAGGGGCTCTCATGGGCAAAAACTCAAAATTGCGGTCAAGTCGAGTTATTTGTCTGGTTTTCTGTTTCTAGACAGAACAGTAGAAAATGGTGACTATTTGCAGGACCAATTTGATGTAATTTATTTTTAAATTGCGACTTTGGCTTTTTTACAGAAATAGCAGCAAACTGCTCTTCTGCTAACTCTTGTCAAAGGTTCTAGTTTTGCTTGGTCAGGTTAGTTCAGTTCAGTGGTGACTGTGCGGTTTTGTCCTGGTGTAACTCCAGTGTCCAATTTAATGCATTTGTCCAGTTGATTCTTTTCTGGAGTGTACATTGTCCCAGACTCTTAAACAAGCAGTTTTTAATAGTGAAATGCAGCCTGGAAATAATGTCCAGATACACCTTGAACTTGAACTTGGAGTTGCTTGAAATACCTGCTGGCTTGGAACCTTTGAGCTTGCAGTCGCTTGATAATACCAATGGAACTGATGAACAGTGTGGAAGGGGAGAGCTCAGGAAATGTTCCTGTCTGCCCAACCATCAGTGCCACTATCCAAAGTATTACTTCCAAAGTACCTGCAGCTTTACGATCCCAGCTGTGGGCTCTGCACCATTGTGCCCAGAGGCCCTGTTCCCTCCCTGCCTGGATGGTTATTCTCTGGCTGCATTAATTGGGTTCCAGTAGGGTGTGGAGCTCTGTGGGGCAGTGACCGCAGTTGCCCCAGACAGGGCAGAGCCCAGGTGGCGGTGCTGGCCCAAGGAAGAGGAAACCCTCCTGCATGGTGGAGAAAGAAGCCAGGATGTTCTGAGCCCCTTGGCTGAAGGCTGGACAGTGCAGGACAGGATGCTGCATGGCAGCGGAGGGAGACTGGACTCTGGGTGAGAGATAGTATGGGGGAAAATAAACAGTGAATGGGGGCCTCTTGTCCTATGCAAGGATCTCTTACGTTGACCCTAGGGAGAGGTCTCTTCCCCCATCCCATAGATGGATTCTCACCCACCCCAGTCCCACTATTCCTGTGCACTTGCCGATGCCCTTGCTCAGAATCCTCTAGGACAGTATGGGTGGGCCTGAAGCATCCATGCTTTCCCCTAGAGAGGGATTCTCAGCCCTCCCCAGTCCCTACACACGAGTACCTGTAGAGTCCCGCTGCTTCCCCGCAGAGGGAGGGTGGGGTCCTTAGTTTTTCCGAGCTAAAGGATCACCCTGCATAGAGCCCCCTGGTGCCCACCAATATCCCCTGCGCAGCCCCCGAAACAGGGGTCTCTAGAGTCCCTTTGCTGCCACCGGCTGGCCACCTGGCGGGAGACGCGCACGCGCAGTAAGTTCCCACAGCCCCTTCACAGGCGCGACCCCGGCGATACCCGGCGGCATCCCCTCCCCCTTGTCGAGCCAGAGGCATGCTGAGCGCCTATTGGTCCGGGCGGCGGAGGGGCGGAGCAGAACACACCAGTCGCGAACGCGGCCGTGCGTTTAGAAGCAGGGTGAGGCGGGTGCGAGTGGGCCTCCTGCGGGGCTCGCTACGGAGCGAGGGGAGAGGCGCGCTGGGAGGGGTCAGACCAATTGATGCGCTCCCCGGGGTACCCCCCTCTGAGCTCCCCCCCGCCAGGTGGCTGAGCCCGGGCTACCCGCCCTCTGAGCCCGCCCCCCCTCCGCGCCAGGTGGCTGAGCCCGGGCTACCCGCCCTCTGAGCCCCCTCCCCCCGGCCAGGGGGGGGCGAGCATGTGGCCGAGCGGTGCCAGCAAACCCTGGCAGAAATCTGTGGGGGGGGGGCACCTGACCGTAACTCGTCCCCCATCGCCTCTGCTGGCATCGCTCGGGGAGGTGGATGAAGGGCAGCGGCGGGAGAGCCGCCCCTGCCGCCCCGCTGAGTGGCCAGGCTGAAGTGCTGCCGCGGGGCAGCTGCAGCGGCTCCGTGTCGAGATCGGGGAGGCCGGACCTGACTCCGGTGTGACTTGAGGGGCTCAGAATTCGCTCTGTTTTCCTTCCGATGTGAAGGCGAATAAGGAACGAAACCCTGTTACCTGATCACAGCTCCTGGGTTGTCTGTAATCCTGGGACTGCCATAAGGAATCCAGGTAAACCGCAATCGGTCGAGGTACTTATCCGGCCCCCGCCGCCGCAGTCTCTGTGCACCTCGTGATTCTATCCCTGCACTGCTTGTGAGGTCGGGAAGTGTTGTTCTTCCTTGATAGGGGCCCTGGGAAATTAAATGACGAGCCCAGGGTCACCTAGGGAACTTGGCCCAGATTCTTAAAGGTATTTAGGCACTTAACTCGCATTGAAATCAGTGGGAGTTAAGCATCTAAACACCTTTGAGGTCCGATCTGGGCCTCTGTGGTTGAGTTAGGAATAGAACCAATGACTTCCCAGGCTCAGTTCAGTACCCTACCTACTAGACCTTCCTTTTCTCCCACTTGAAATGAAGCCAGCAGTTACACCGGGCCTCCCCGGGGCTAACTTTTATACATGTGCATGTTTTTTCAGTCGCACATGGATCATGGGTGTGATTTAAATCCACAGCCAAGACCTGTTCTGCTTAACTACAGGCATAAACTACCCAAGGATACAGGTCCCAGTTCCTCCTTGTATTGGTGGTGTCCTGGAAATGAGCTGATCTGTCCCTGCTACCTCTACTTTATGGCTGTTGTGGCCTCCCAAGAGCTGGTGGGGAAAGGGGAGGCGCCTGGGGTATTATTTAAGTTGGGATTCTCCCTATGGGGATGAGGTAATTCAGTCTTTGGCAGCAGGGGAGTAGCGGCAGGAGCTCTGAAAGACGACGATCCTGGTGAGTGCCCACAGAGATGTGTGGAAAGGGGACTATTCTGGCTGTAGTTGGTGGGACGTGTCTATTGTTTGTTAAGCTCCTGTGTCTGTCTCATTTATGGCTAATTTTAGCCCTTCCCTTTGGGTGATTTAGGTTTCCTTTTGGGGGGGAGGGGCGGACAGAGAGAAGTGAGCCAAGAATAAATAGTTAGTGCCAACAGTGTATTTCGCATTGGCAAAAGTAAACAAGAGTAGGGCCAGGTGCACGCTACAGACTTACATCGGCATAACTGCGTTGCTCAGGGATGTGAAAAATCCGCTGCAGCCATGGCACCAACAGGCGCGCAGCGTAGCTGCTGTTTGTCTGCAGGAGAGAGCTCTCCCGCAGACCCAGCAATTCCACCCCCAAGGAGCAGCAGCAGCAGCTCCTGCACACACCCCGCTGTTCACACGGGCGCTTTTCATAGGTAAACTTCTGTTTTTCCTGAGCGTGGGTGGGGTTTTTTTTTGTTTTTGTTTTGTTAACACCCCAGAAAGACAAGTTCCAGAGTAGACAAAGCCTCGGAGTTTCACTGCTTGCTAAGTACAAGGTGGAATAGATTGTTTAGCGTAGCTAGCACATTTCAAGGGCCCCTTCAAGGTGAAGTGGCCTGTTAACACTCCTGGTCACAGGAAAGAAAGTAAAGGGGCGGAGGAGAAAGCAGTTGGGGGAGGCTGTTAGTGGTTTACAGATTGTAGTAAATAAACCATCAACCCAGTATCTTTGTTCGGTCCAGGATTTTTAGTGTCTAGCAAAGTTATGAATTTCAACTCCCAGGCCCGTCTTTTTGAAAATGTTGTGCAGGTTTCCTTTGAGGATGAGGGCTGATAGATCACATACAAGAGTGATTGTTCTGTGAGAAGTGCTCACCCACAGATGATGTGGTGGTCTTGTCCTTTCATTTTCCTGTTCATTTGTGAGCATAGTGATTCTCTGGTTTCACCCACATAGTTGTTGTTGGGGCATTTAGTGCACTGGATGAGGTAAACCACATGTTGTGATTGGAATTGACATGTGTAGGACCCATGGATCTTGAAAGGTGTGTTGTGGAGTGTGTTGATCATTGTAGCAGTGGAGATGTGTCTGCAGGTTTTGCGTCTGGTGCTGCTGTGAGTTGGTGTGTCCTGGTCTGTGGGGAGCTTGCTTCTGATGATGAGCTTGGAGAGATTAGGGGTTGTTTTGAAGGCCAGAAGTGGGGGTCCAGGAAAGATTTCTTTCAGGATGGGGTTTCTATCAAGTATGGGTTTTAGTTGTTTGTTACCCCATATGGGTTGCAGTGTAGGGTGTAGTAGGTGACCACTAGGGGTGTGCGGTCGGTGGGGGTTTTATTTCTGTATTGAAGCACGTTTCCTTGGTGTATCTGGGTGGCCCATTCCATGATGCGATGTACTTCTGTGGTGGGGTGTCCCCCTTTGGCGAAGGCGGTTTTGCGTGTGTTAAGGTGCCTGTCCCGGACTGTCTCCTCAGAGCATATTCTGTGGTATCTGAGTGCCTGCCAGTAGACAACAGATTGCTTGGTGTGTTTTGGGGTGATTTCCGGATCTGTGAAGATAGGTGTGGTGGTCCGTGGGTTTCCTCTCTGTAGTTGTCTGTAGGGTTCCAAGCATTGGCAAACACTGTCCTCTGTGTGTACTTGCTTGTCCAAAGGGGAGTGGGTGGGGTGGCACCAGTGGGTTTCGGAGTTCAGAGAGAAAAGGAGTACTTGTGGCACCTTAGAGACTAACCAATTTATTTGAGCATGAGCTTTCGTGAGTGAGCTGTAGCTCACGAAAGCTCATGCTCAAATAAATTGGTTAGTCTCTAAGGTGCCACAAGTACTCCTTTTCTTTTTGCGAATACAGACTAACACGGCTGTTACTCTGAAAGGAGTTCAGAGAATATCCCGTGTGTGGGGCTCTTGGCTCCTTGCAGGATCAAGGCCTTTGAGTGTATTTGTAATGTAAGGAGAGCGTTCTTGTTGGTCAGAGGGACATTTCTGCAGGTTATCAAATGGAACACACTTCTGTGTAGACCTGAGTAATGGGGTTGGGGGGAGGGGGAGAAACTTACCTGTGGGCAACTTATTCCACCGTTGCCCATTCTGGGGCTTCTCCCACCTTTCTGTCGACAGCTGGTACTGGCCACAGTTGGAGACAGGGCTAGTGGAATTGCAGGGAACTCCTTTGTATTGTTTTTGTGTAAAGTCAAAGAAGCAGCTTGGAGGAAAGGGACCTGAGAGCCCTCTGTGGCTATTCGGCTGCAGAGAAGCCAGTGGACTGACTGGTTTCGCTTCTCAGAAGTTATTAGCAGGTAGCAAGGAATGTTTGAAAGCCACTCAACTGCATGCAAAGCTCAATAAAGACTCTTCTAGTTGTTCTCTGAACCTAAGTGGGAGCGGGACCACATGTTTGGGTTTCAGAGGGGTTGTTCTGTTTAGGGGACAACTGAACTATTTTGTTCTTAGGTAAAAGATCAGTGACTGGTGGGTGCCGGTGCCCTGCGTAACTATACAGGAAGATCACCACAGCATTCCCTCCCATCCCCCCCAAGTGCAGAAGGTGTTACTCACCTAATTTTTCTAACCTGGAAAAGTCTGATATCTAGTTTTATGTCCCCCTGCCCCGCTCAAAGGAGCCCGGGGAACAGACTAAGGTCTGTGGAGCAAAGGCTGCTTCTCAAGCTATGTCTGTGCTGTGCCTGACACAATGGATCCGTAACCTCAACTGGGTTCCCAGGTGCTACTGTCCTATTAATATTAATACTACTACTAATAAAGACTCCAACCCCGTAACTCTGCTCGCCTACCTCTTTCCTGCCTGTAGTCTTTGTTGTAGAACTTGAATCCTTGGTGCCACGGAGCTCCTTGGCCCCCACTGACTCTGGGAGGGGAAGATGCAGAAATCTAAAATTAACATATGCGCTTGGAACAACGCTGGTCTTTCAGACTCTGCAAGTGTGAGAATACTTCCCTTATCAATAGTGCTTTTCAACCAGTCATCTGGTATCAGTCCGGCTCCGTGAGATGGAACAGGATCTAGCTCCTGTCTTTGGTACTTAGTGGATCCCCATTACAATAGTATTTGAGCCCCTCACAATCTGCAGGACTTGGCTGTTGTTCCCTCTTTACAGGTGGGGAACTGAGGCACAGGGAAGCTAAGCGACTTACCGAAGGTAACAAAGGGAGTCTGTGGTGGAGCAGGGAATTGCACCCAGATCTCCTAAATCACAGGTTGGTGCCCCACCGCAGCTCTGCATCTTACAAAGAGAGACACCACACCCTAAGCCAACACACAGCTCAATTTTTTTTTTCTCTTTTCTCTCTCCTCCCCCGCCCCCCGTTCCTCACTGGTAGTTTCCCGGAGGGGACGTACGCCGTTCCTGGAGGTACCGCAGTACCAGGTTGATGTGTGGCGTGGATGAAGCAAGCTCCTATTCCGTCTCCCTGGCAGAGCAGAGCTCAGTACATCCAGAAAGGTGCATATTTTGCACAATGCCATGTGTTCCAGTTGTTTGTTCCTATCTCCTGAATCTACCACCCTGTGACTTTCTGTGGCGCATGCAGGAGAAGATCCCCATAACAGAAAAGAGAAGTCAGGTTCCGTTTCCACTGCCTTATCGTGTGATGTGCTGGAGAGCTGCTTATCCCTGTTCCTGCGCGGCATGCGCTCTGAATATAAATCTGTCTCTGGGGAAATTAGAATCCAAAGAGCTTCTGAGGGGCAGGTCTGCTGTAGCTTTGTGAAGAAGAGACCGAGACTGTTAAGACTCTGGGGGTTCCCAGTTTGATATTTAAGTATTGAAAATGTGCCATTTATTGGGGAGGGGCTGTCATCTCAAAGGTTCCTTTGCCTTTCCCTCCCTTCCTTTTGCTGCCTCTCAGACAAGGTAAAGCTGCAACAATAGATTCCTACAGTTTAAGGGCAGCAGGGACAATGGGATCATTTGATCTGACCGCCTGTGTAATGCAGGCCATAGAATTTCATCCATTTTCCCCTGTACGGAGCCAAATAACGTGTTGGACTATGTTGGCATGCAGGCCTGATGGCTGGAGAGAGGGAGAATACAACACTGCCCTCAGCAGTTTCTTCCAGTGGGGCACCAGTGAACATGCCAAAGCTATCAACTCCGTCACTTGGGAGCCCTGCAGCTTTAGGTGCTTGTCTGCATGGGAATAGTTCCTGCCATGGCCATAGCAGAATAGCTTTGGAAGCGGAGTAGTCATTTTTGGGAATAAAGTTGTTTTTATTTGGAACGGTGTCCCCCTGTCCGGGGGTTATACTGGAAGAGCTACAGCGCAGTGCTTACTCTGCTTCTAGGAGGCCAGTCAATTCCCCCATGTAGACAAGCCTTTAGACTGCAGGTTTTGTGAGTCCCAACCGCCAGCTCTGCTCAGTCTCCAGAGCACACTTCATTTTGGCAGCTTTCTCTTTCTCTCTCTCCCTCCCCCCCGCGTTGGGGCGATGGAGCTCTGGCGCCACCTGCTGGTCCTGATTTCAAAGCTGGAGGGGGAAACAACTCTCTCCCTGAGCCCTGGTCTACGGTTCCAGCGTATGTTGCTATAAAATGCATTGCCTGAGCGACGCGTTATATCGACCTAGCCCCCCGTGTAGACTGGTTTCTACTAGGGAGAGCGCTACCGCCTCTCTGGGAGGGGAAGCACCTATGCTGACGGGAGAAGCTTTTTCAGTGGCACAGGTAGCCGCTCCACTAAATGCTTCAGGGGCCCAGCTGCAGCGCTGTAAGTGTGAGCACCTGCCTGGGATAAATCAATTGCCACAAACCAGCCTTTCCCAGAAGAAACAACGAGGAGTCCTTGTGGCACCTTAGAGACGAAAACATTTATTTGGGCTCACTTCATCAGATGCAAGGAGTGAAAAATACAGTAGGCAGGTATAAATATACAGCCCATGAAAGATGGGGGGTTAGGGCTAAGGAGGCCAATTCCCAACAGTTGACAAGCAGGTGTGAATATCAACAGAGGGGAAATTACTTCTTGTAGTGACCCAGCCCCTCCCAGTCTTTATTCAGGCCTAATTTGATGATGTCAAGTTTGCAAATTACTTCCCGTGCTGCAGTTTCTCGTTGACTCCTCTTTGTTTTGCTGATACAGACTCACAGGGCTACCCCTCTGAAACCTTTCACAGAAGAGTAACACTGAGCCCTTCACAGGTGTAAAGCACCTCACAAACACTGCATAACCCTACACTCCTCCGAGAGGAGGTAAATAGTTTAATCTTCGCTCTGCAGAGCAATTTGAAAGGGGCAGCCACCTGAAGTGTCCTGTCCCAAGCCACATCATAGGAACCAGAAGTTAAATATGAGTGTTTTGAACGTCTGTTACAGAGGATGGGGCCCCTGGGTGCAGTACCACACCTACTGCCTTCACTTGAGCTTACAAACCAAAACACATAGACCGTCTGTTGGGTGGGGAGAAGAATAGGACCTGTCTATATAATCATAATGCAATTTTTTTTTATATATAATATTGAAGGTCACATGTATAGAAAGAAGTGTCTCCCTGATAAACCCTTATTCATGCCTCCTCCTGTTGAAAGTACTCACTGCGCAAAGTAGAGTCCCAGCTTTTTAAATAATTCTCTAGTAACACCTCACTTCTCTGGACTCACAAAACTAGAACAGAAATTTTGATAAATAAGCCAAGAGACTGAATGCTTGAGAATAAAACTGTTGTAAAGACCGGATAGAAGGGTAGAGTTCAACTGAGGTCTGTTTTTTAACCACAATAGTCTCCCCAGAGGGGAGGTGCACCATTCCTGGAGGTACTGCAATACCAGGTCGATGCGTGGAGTGGATGGAGCAAGCTCCTATTCCATCTCCCTGTTCCAAAAATCCATTTAATATATAGTCCTGAGATAGAGGCTGTCACGGAGTCCCTGGGCGATGCTCTGGAACTGCTCCCCATGAAGCCAGTCAGGACTCTGGGGCAGTCGCCTTTCTGTGAGCAGCCTGTCTTCAGGACACACAGCTCACACAGCTTCCACCTTCCTGGGTCTAGACCTCGGAGGTATTCAGCATCCTCTGCCCCTCCGTGCCCCCCCCCCCACCCAGCCAGAGGGGGGGGGCGGGGGGGCGGGAGGGGCCCCCCCCCCCCCACCACCCAAAAGGAAGCCACCCCCAACCAACAAAAAAAAAAGAAGTTAAGAGAAAGAAAGGACAAAACAAAGCGGGGAGGGGAAGGAGGCGGCCCCCCCGGGGGGCTTTTTGGGGGGGGGAGAACAACCAAACCACCCTTCACCCCACCCCCCCCCCCACCCACCCCCAAAAAAAACCCCCCCCCCCCCCCCCCTCTTGGGGGTTTCTTTCCCCGGCGGGGGGGGGGGCCCCCTCCCTTCTTTTCCCCCCCACCCCCCCCCCCCCCTTGGGGGGGGAAGGGGCCCCGCCCCCCATTTCCCAAAAAACAGGGGTTGGCCCTTCTCTGTGTCCAGACTCCTGCACATACCTGCCCTCTAGGGCTCTGCAATGATCATACACCCTTACTCCACCCCCTAGATACTTAAGAACTGCCTAGGGGAAACTGAGGCACCCCCACACTATTCAGAGGAAACATTAAGAACAGTCCCACTTCGTCACAGAGGCCATATCAGTTTAATATCTGATAAGAACAGATTTAATAATTTTATTAAGATAATGTTGAAATGAGAAACGATACAGCGTTCAAGCAGAGAAGTTTCTGGTTGTCCGGGGATAAGGTACAGATTATCAAGGGATGCAAAATTCGATTTAGGAGCTGGTGGAGCAAGGATCACATAATAATCTGCAATCTCCCCGACTGGGGGAAAAGTTTAACCGGTCAGAGTATAGACATCGAGATATGGGGTAAGTTATCCACACAACGGGTATGTCTACACTACGGAATAAGGTCGAATTTATAGAAGTTGGTTTTTTAGAAATCGGTTTTATATATTCAAGTGTGTGTGTGTCCCCACAGAAAATGCTCTAAGTGCATTAACTCGGCGGAGTGCTTCCACAGTACTGAGGCTAGAGTCGACTTCCGGAGCGTTGCACTGTGGATAGGTATCCCACAGTTCCCACAGTCTCTGCTGCCCATTGGAATTCTGGGTTGAGATCCCAATGCCTGATGGGGCTAAAACATTGTCACGGGTGGTTCTGGGTACATATCGTCAGGCCCCCCTTCCCTCCCTCCCTCCGTGAAAACAAGGGCAGACAATCATTTCGCGCCTTTTTTCCTGAGTTACCTGTGCAGACGCCATAGCACGGCAAGCATGGAGCCCGCTCAGGTAACCATCACCGTATGTCTCCTGAGTGCTGGCAGGCACGGTACGGCATTGCTACACAGTAGCAGCAACCCATTGCCTTCTGGCAGCAGACGGTGCAGTACGACTGGTAGGCATCCTCGTCGTGTCCGAGGTGCTCCTGGCCACGTTGGCTGGGAGCGCCTGGGCAGACATGGGCGCAGGGACTAAATTTGGAGTGACTTGACCAGGTCATTCTCTTTAGTCCTGCAGTCAGTCCTATTGAACCGTCTTATGGTGAGCAGGCAGGCGATACGGATTGCTAGCAGTCGTACTGTACCATCTTCTTCCGGGCAGGCAAGAGATGAGGATGGCTAGCAGTCGTACTGTACCATCTTCTGCTGAGCAGCCATGAGATGTGGATGGCATGCAGTCCTTCTGCACCGTCTGCTGCCAGCCAAAGATGTAAAAGATAGATGGAGTGGATCAAAACAAGAAATAGACCAGATTTGTTTTGTACTCATTTGTTTCCCTCCCTCCCCTGTGTAGGGGACTCATTCCTCTAGGTCACAGTGCAGTCACTCACAGAGAAGGTGCAGCGAGGTAAATCTAGCCATGTATCAATCAGAGGCCAGGCTAACCTCCTTCTTCCAATAAGAACAATAACTTGGGTGCACCATTTCTTATTGGAACCCTCTGTGAAGTCCTGCCTGAAATACTCCTTGATGTAAAGCCACCCCCTTTGTTGATTTTAGCTCCCTGAAGCCAACCCTGTAAGCCATGTCGTTAGTCACCCCTCCCTCCGTCAGAGCAACGGCAGACAATCGTTCCGCACCTTTTTTCTGTGTGGACGCCATACCAAGGCAAGCATGGAGGCCGCTCAGCTCACTTTGGCAATTAGGAGCACATTAAACACCACACGCATTATCCAGCAGTATATGCAGCACCAGAACCTGGCAAAGCGATACCGGGCGAGAAGGTGACGTCAGCGTGGTCACGTGAGTGATCAGGACATGGACACAGATTTCTCTGAAAGCATGGGCCCTGCCAATGCATGCCTCATGGTGCTAATGGAGCAGGTTCATGCTGTGGAACGCCGATTCTGGGCTCGGGAAACGAGCACAGACTGGTGGGACCGCATAGTGTTGCGGGTCTGGGACAATTCCCAGTGGCTGCGAAACTTTCGCATGCGTAAGGGCACTTTCATGGAACTTTGTGACTTCCTTTCCCCTGCCCTGAGGCGCATGAATACCAAGATGAGAGCAGCCCTCACAGTTGAGAAGCGAGTGGCGATAGCCCTGTGGAAGCTTGCAACGCCAGACAGCTACCGGTCAGTTGGGAATCAATTTGGAGTGGGCAAATCTACTGTTGGGGCTGCTGTGATACAAGTAGCCCACGCAATCAAAGATCTGCTGATATCAAGGGTAGTGACCCTGGGAAATGTGCAGGTCATAGTGGATGGCTTTGCTGCAATGGGATTCCCTAACTGTGGTGGGGCCATAGACGGAACCCATATCCCTATCTTGGCACCGGAGCACCAAGCCGCCGAGTACATAAACCGCAAAGGGTACTTTTCAATAGTGCTGCAGGCTCTGGTGGATCACAAGGGACGTTTCACCAACATCAACGTGGGATGGCCGGGAAAGGTACATGACGGTCGCATCTTCAGGAACTCTGGTCTGTTTCAAAAGCTGCAGGAAGAGACTTTATTCCCAGACCAGAAAATAACTGTTGGGGATGTTGAAATGCCTATATGTATCCTTGGAGACCCAGCCTACCCCTTAATGCCATGGCTCATGAAGCTGTACACAGGCAGCCTGGACAGTAGTCAGGAGCTGTTCAACTACAGGCTGAGCAAGTGCAGAATGGTGGTAGAATGTGCATTTGGACGTTTAAGGGCGCGCTGGCGCAGTTTACTGACTCGCTTAGACCTCAGCCAAACCAATATTCCCACTGTTATTACTGCTCGCTGTGTGCTCCACAATATCTGTGAGAGTAAGGGGGAGACGTTTATGGCGGGGTGGGAGGTTGAGGCAAA